TAAAGATGGATCATTGACAATGCAATAAGAAATTGCAAAATTATAGGTGGATGGCATGATCTTTCACCTTAATTAACTGTGAGGACGATCTCGATTGATGACCAAGATGAGCACAATGCTGTCTGATATACTTACATTAGAAGTAGAGAGAAGGAAGTGTGGTATGGTAGGCGCTTGTTGGCGGATGCAGCATCATCAAGATTCTCATGCATCTCCTCCAAATCAGTGCTTTTGGATCGATGGATTGTGAATCTTGATGATGCCACGCCCGCAAACACCGACTGTGTAATGTTATAGACTAATCCTGAGGCTGAGCTAAATACATAATCTGGAGTCTGTTGTAGAGCTATAACGTTGCAGCTCCATCTATATATGCAGGAACATATATATATGGCATCGGTGAGATTGAGAAAGAGGTGAAGGATGGCAATGGCGGTGGGTGGGTGAGTGGGTGGGATGGTGAAGCGGCACCGGCAACGCGACATGCATGCTTGATTCGCTGCTAACTGCTGCAAATCTGCAGGGTATGGCAATTAAGATGGTGAGGGTGAGTGATCAGACGAGCTGAATATGTCGATTAATTATATGGGCGGTGCCATTGGTTCATACAGTCAGTATCAGATTAATGAAATCGTTAACCCACTGGTTCAGACAGAGTGGAGAGTTGGCCGGTGCGTGCGTGTGTGCATGCCGCGCGTGGTGCGCGCATGCTCCGTCCGGATCCGCTGCCAAAAGCTGCTGGCGATAGCTAGCATTGCATGGCGCGCACACACCTGGCCACCTGATGACATGGACGGGACCCACACCCCTTGTTTTCTTCCAATCAATTTAACCATTGCCGACTTCGATTGCTAATTACACGATTCATACATCGATCGGTACGTTGAACGATGCATAACAGCCCAAGCTTAGGGCGCTCGCAAATAGTGTCGGCAATGGTCCTTTCTTCTAGACCAGATCGCTTAAATAAAAATTCCCCATTTCCCAACCATAGGGCCAGGCACCGACTGGGGTGTAAGAATATATTCCGATTCTTGCAGGATTCAGATCCAAACGATGCTTCTACGAAGTGATAGATTCTCCCTCGAACACCTACAAACTTTTCTCTATTTTGAATTAGGAAGAAGAACCCTCCAAATAGACGTTTTGTAATGATTCTAGTTTATTTTAGAATGAATTTCGAACTATAGCCAAATGGTTTCACCAATTCTTGCTAAGCGGTTCTGGTCAGCTAAGAGATATTTATAAGAATAGTCTAAATCTGAAACTTTTTTAGAAGAACATGGATCCTATACTAAACCCTCCTGAGGCAACTCGTTTATGGCGCTTTCCCACAAATTCTACCCAACCTCTGCTCGATCAGTTTATTTGGAGGCGAAAGTTGAACGGAAGATACTCTGCATCATCTTCCTATAGGGCCTTCTTTCAAGGATTGTAGTTTATCGCTAGAGCAATGGAACTTTGGTGCACCACGGCACCGCGCACATCAAGTTTTTCTTCTGGCTTGCTCTTCATGGTGAGCTGTACAATTGTAATTGTCTTGAGCTCGTAGCTTCATCTTTCTCATAAGAATTAGTAACGTTGCCTGAAGAGTGCCCATGAACATAAATGATAGCCTGACGGAAGAGGTCGCCACTCCAGTCCTCTCTGTGGCGACTTGCACCTCTGGGGTTTGTCGAAGATGATGTTTGCCGCCCAACTTCACTCTGCCGACCTTCGATGGTGCCTATAGGGGAAAAGGAAGCTCCTCGAGAAGATAGCTCTCTTGCGCCAAAGCTGCAGGAGCCACTTTCTCCTCCTTCATCTTCAATGAATTTGGGAAGGAAATCCCTACTGCCAGTGGCGAAGCTACATGTAGCGTTGTGATGCGGATACACCCACAAAAAATTTGAATATTAGTGAATAGGGTTAAATTTTCACCATGGTTATGACTCAGATCTATACGTCTATAAGGCAGCTGCACCCTTCGGATTTGCTCTAGCTTCGCCACTACCTGCTACCCCCACCTCTGTTGAAGGCTTCTCTCAGCTTGTCACTTTTGGGAGATGTTGTTCTTGTCTGATTGATTCTTTTGTTGCCGACTCCCTCTATTCCATTCTGGTGGCTCCGCGGAGGCCTTCAGAGTATGTCAACTTGAGGATAGAATCTTCACGCCCTGTTCGCTTGAGCTTATTCAGAACTACTTTTCAGCCATGAATAATATTTTTCTCTCACAATATTTCAGCATAAACATTAGTATAAGCCAAATTTCAGCATCAGCGAACAGGTGTTCCTTTTTTGAGTCTCTTGCAAGGCTGTGGGTTTTGAAATTTACAAACTACGGATCTTTTCTTGTGATGAGTTTGAGGTCTCTTTCACCTCTTCAATGATATTGGTCTGGCTGCTGCTCGTTCGTTCTGAACCTCAAGTGGACAGAAATTTTTCCCATGGGTGGAAGTCAGGAAAAAACCTTCTTTTGCAGAGTTTTTTTGAAGCGGATCTTTTGCAGATGTGGCTAATTTACCACCAAAAGCGCTTACAGGAGCCAACAGAATTCCAATGGGAACCAAAAAGCCCTTCATCAGCCTAAACTGGGGATTAATTAATAATAACATCAAGAGTTCATCAAGCAAAGGCAGAAAATCTGTCTTCGACAGATTATATCCTTCCCCAGGACCTCTGCCTTTGACCGGATCAACTAGGAGGATTTGAGGTCCAATGAAGAACAGTGTCGATCGCTCTCCATCTCTTAAGTCCTCGCCATCTCCGGTTCTTCCTTCTTCATCCATGCCAGGTTTGGATTTGAATTTGAAATTGGGTTTTACAAGCTTTGAATCTCTCATCTTCTATGCTGGTTGATGAAAAAGCTTTGTACCTAATGTAAGTAACCAGTCAGACTCTATATAAGTGGTAAATAAACATACAGCTAACAGCTGATAGCCATGCTGACGCGCGCACGGCAACTTTTCCAGCGTACTCGTGTATAGGTACTTCCTGCGTCCAAAACAGAAGGACGTTACGAAATACGTGCCGGCCAAATTTTTTCAACTTTAACTAGGTTTGTACGAAATACATGTAACATTTATATTTCCAAATAAATTTATTATGAAAATATATTTAACGATCTATCTAACCGTACTAATTATGTATTATAAATATTAATATTCTTTTATATATAATTGGTCAAAATTTAAAAAAATTGATTTTTCGGGAAGCGAGAATGACTTTTATTTTAAGACAGAGTGAGTACTTTGAAGAGTCCAAAGCAACATCTTCAACAAACACAGAAAATTAGAAAAATGGTAATTTTCTTGATGCTATTTTCGGCAAGGTAAGTGTCCTTTTGACCCTTAAACAATTCATAAAGTATGATGTTCCTCCTCTAAGTACATGTTTGGATCCACCCTAACTAAAAATTTGCTAGCAATTAGCTAGAGCTAAAATTTAGCCAACTAAAGATTAGCTAGCAAAACTTTAGCTAGGGGTGTTTGGATCCTCTAGCTAATTGAAAACCTTGACCATACTACCCCTCATTAATTGCATTGTTTAGCTAGCTAAATTTTAGCGGGGTGTTTTGATCCTCTAGCTAAACTTTAGCTAGGGATAGTTTGGTCATTGAGGCCTTTTAGCTGGTTTAGCTATGTTGAAATAGCTAAAGGGATTGTGTATATTTTGGTCTCTAGCTAAAGTTTAGCTGAGTTTAGTTGTGGGCTGTTTGGAGCCACCACAGCTAAATTTAGCCAGCTAAAGATTAGCTGGTGGATCCAAACAGGGCAAGTATAAAACCAGATTTTGGTCCACATGAACTTGTAAGCTTTTATTTTGTCCAGAGGATAAATCATAGCACATTGTAGTTTAAAGTCGGTAAGTCCACTGTAAATATTTTTTAATAAAAATGTCCAGATAGTTTTTAGAAAGTTTATGCAATTAAAATTGTAAAACTAGTTTAATCTTAGAAATCTCATAGAAAATTATTTTATCTTAGTAAAAATATGAAATAGATTTTAGATTTTCCTAAAATCATACTCTATGTAATGGTGCCTACCTTAGAATTCTTTTTATCTCTTATTATGGTCTTCCTTTGGTGTTTGTTTTCTAGTAGATTCTCTTGTTACCTATTATAGTTTGTCTATGTGATGACATGGACAACGTGGAAGGCCAAGTGACTTTGAGGATAACACATTAACACTAAATTTCATATTATCGTCATTCATGGTTAATATATTTAGTACGAGCACAATTAATTGTTTGTTGATCGTGTTAGTGCCATTTGATCACGTTATTGTTATTTAATTCTATCTATGATCATGCTAGTGTAGACAGCATGGAGTGACACTTGTTTTTATACGATCAAGTACGAGGAAGTTATATGACACTTGTGTAGTTATCAAAGTTAGATGAAATTCTACGTCGTTCAGTTTGTCAACGTAGACTAATAATAATAGATAACGAAGCATTTACTAATAAATAAATACCAAAATGACATCATAAAAGTCTCAAATAATTTCAAAGTAGACACCATAGGGTTGAGCTTGAACCAATTTCATATTTTTTTCAAGCTAAAACGATTTTCTATGAATTTTTTTTATTAAACAAGAGTTTAGAATTTCAATTGCGTATTTAAAAAAATATATTTTGGTAATTTTTAAAAAATATCTATAGCCAGAATTACCCCTAAACTAGTTCAATTTACTCTTTCGCTGATGACGTGACGCCAGGTCGAAGAAAACCGCTGAATGGAAACAAAAGATTGTAAAAATCCTTGAATTTGGTTTAATCTTAGAAAATTATAGTCGACGGGAGGTAAATTGGAGTTTTTTTTACTTTTTTTTCTTCGCCTATTCATCAGGGCCTTATATTGGTAATCTCATTGGGCCTCTTCTGGGCTGGTCCGATCGCTCGAGTGGTGGAGCGGACTGTGGAGAGGACTGGTGTTCGCTTCCATAGTTCCTCCGTTCCGTCGACGGCTCGACGCCTTCACTCCTCCGCGCGATCCAGCGGAGCCGCCGCCGCCCGCCGGAATGGAACCGGAGCCTGATCAGCTAAAGGCCGCCGCCGGTGGGGGCCACCGCAAGCACCTCGCCATGATCGAACGCCTCTCCAAGCGCTCCTCCTCCTCTGCCGGCGCCCCACCCTCCGATTCCTCTGACGCCTCGCCCGTCGAGGCCTTCCTTTCCCGCTTCGCCGGCGCCAAGCTCGCCGCGGAGTCAGCACTCACCGCCTGCCGCTCCTCTTCCGAAGACGACGCAACCGCATCTCTGGCGGCTGCTGCGGCCGCCATCGATGACATCGATCGCCTCATCGCCGAGGCGTCCCACGCGCTGCCCCCCTACGAGCTGCGCGCCGCCCTCGCCACCGCCGGCGACCTCCGCGCGGCACACAGGGTCGCCGCCTCTGAGCTCCGTCCCAAGAAGTCCTTCTCCTTCAGGAACAAGAACAGGAATCTTAAGAACCCGCCTCAGGATCATGTCACCGCATCGCCTCCGCAGCCACCTCCTCCGGAGCTGCCGAAGCCTAGTCTGGACGTGATCCTACCAGGGTTCGGGTTCCGGGGCAAGAACGGCGCCACCTTTGTGAAGGATCTGCGAGTCTCCAACGACAAGGATGGGGATTTCACGCTCGCGGATTTGGTTTCCTGCGAGGTCTATCTCAAGGGCAAATGCCGGGCTCTGTACATCCACAAGATGAGAGATTGCCGTGTGTTCGTTGGAGCTATTCTTGGTTCTGTGCTTATAGAGGACGTCCAAGGCTGCATATTTGTGATGGCAGCACACCAGATCAGGATTCATGAGGCGAGGGTGACGGATTTCTACTTGCGGGTGAGGAGTAGGCCTATCATTGAGGATTGCAGTGGTGTGAGATTTGCACCATATGTTTTGAATTATGAAGGAATTGAAGAAGATTTAAAGGACTCTGGACTTGAGGAGGAGACCGGTAATTGGGCTAATGTGGATGACTTCAAGTGGCTCAAGGCAATGCAGTCACCAAATTGGTGTTTGGTTCTAAAGGAAGAATGGTTGCAGACTGTCAACATTTCGGAGGTTCATGAACAGGAGGATGATAGCTGACCTGCTTTGGCAGGATTGCTGTCAGCTCTCATTTGGTTTGCTTCTATGGATTCATTAGTTTATTTAGTATGAACACAATTGTTAGTTCATCGTGTTAGTGTCATTTGATCATGTTATTGTCACTTAATTCTATCTATGATAATATTAGTGTGGACAATATGGAGTGACACTTGTTTTTATACTAAATATGATCAAGTATGAGGTGGTTACATGTTGTCAAAGTCAATTGAAATTCTATATAGTTCAGTTTGTCAACGTAGACTAATTATAGTAGATAATGAAAGAATTTACAAACAAATAAATACCAAAAGGACATCATAAAAGATTCAAATAATTTCAAACTAGACACCATAAGGTAGAGCATTCTGGATGTAGGCCACGTCACATGAAAATCATTTTGTATGCATGTAAACTTCTGACTCTTCATCAATCGTTGTCTTCTCCATGACTCCATTGGTGTTATCTTGTGTGGTGTGCATGCGTTTGTGGCTGCGACTGCGATCCCTGAGACTTCTATTGTTCAGCTTCTCATTTGTGGACTATATATTCAACTAGAAAGATTGGCGCGCTTCGCTGCACCCGTATGCTAAGAGCATGCATATTTGTTTGTTTAATTAGTCATGCTTAATTAGGCACTGAGCTAGATGGTGCATGCATATCGAGGCAGCCAGTTGTAGATGATGCCGCTCCTGGATGTTCTAGTTATGAGGAATCTTCATCCATCGTTGCTGATCTGAAGAAATTCAGAACTCAGCTGGTTGCCTTTGACAAAGCTTGGTGTGGTCATCTTTACCATTTTGTGGCATGGAAAGTAAAAGATGCTAAATCATTAGAGGACGACCTCATTAGGTCTGCATGCAAGCTTGAGCTGTCAATGATCCAAACATGCAAAATAACTAATGAAGGCGAATCAGATAACATTGGCGGTGATTTGAAGGCCATATGGAAAAAGGTATGGTTTGTCCAAACATGGAAAAATGTATATTTAGTGCCTATTCTTTCTTGGTCATTTTTTTTGCAATCAACCTTGGGGTTCATTAATTCATCTATTAAAATATGAGGATCAAGCTAAAATTTAATACTTTGTCCATTGATCTTTATGCCTCTTGTTGACATCTTCAATAGTGAACTATCTTTTGAATTAAGCTTTTGATCCTCATCCAGGTCATAGAAGACCAGAAACTTTAAGGGAGAGGATTCAACGCCTGCGCGGTGAAGCTGGTATTGAACGGATGGGATCTGCTTTATTTGAACACGGCCAAAGCTCTTTCAAGCAAAGGAGAACAGGTGTTCTGTTGCAACTACAGTTGCAAAGGTAGCATCTCCTTCAGTTACATGTTCTTCAGGACAGTCTAATGTTTCTGAAACTGGGGAGAATTCTAACATGGATTCTGAAAAGACAAGTCCAGTTGTCAAATCTCTGGTTGGAGCTTCCTCTTCACCATTTGAAAGCAGCAAAGGAGGAAAGCTGATGAGTAACGCAGCACCAGAAAAAATGCCTACTGAAAATGAGCAAATAGTCAATGAGATACTCCATGATATACATGATTCTTTTGCTGAAATCTCTGATGGTACTGGTACCATTGAAGGTGATTTCAAGGTTAGCTCCAATCTTATTATACAGTTCAGCAGCACAAATAATATAAAATTTGCAATGTATATGATCAAAGTTTTTTTTAATCAGTTTTTAGGATATTTTTTTGGGAAATTAACATATCTGAATTCAGGGTGTTGCTGATGTATTTAACATACTTATTTTTCGTTGGGTCAAATGTCGTGTAATGTGCATTAAGAAACAAATGTACAGTTAGAATCCCTCTATTTATTCTTTTGTTTGTTAAATGATGTTAGAGTACCCCCAACACACTTAAATGATGTTAGAGTACCCCCAACACACACGTGCGCGCATGAACACACTATCGCGCCACATGCACTGGCGCGACAAGGGAAGCCACACTGGCGTAGATGGTTGACCGGAGCTGGTGTGGCGTAGCGTGGGTCCCGGGCTGTCGCGCCAGCGCCTCCGGCGTGACTGGGCTGGCTCGATAGGCCCATATAAGGCCGCGGCCCACCTCCTTTTTGCTCCCTCTCTTCTCTCTCCCTTCGTTCTGGGAGAGCTCGAGGTAAGCTTATGTTGCTGTCTTCTCTCTCTTCTCTTCCTCCCATCCTCTATTTGTCTTTGATCAAGTTTACATTTGCATTTTAGGTTTCAACGGTCTTATGCATGAGGTATGACTCCCTCACCTTTGTTTTTTTTTGTGTTTAGTTGATGTTTATATACTGCTCTGGTTTACACTGTTGTGTGCAATACTGGCTTTCCTTTGGTTGAATGAAAGTTGCTATGGCTAATCACGTCTAATATATTATGGTTCATGATATACTTGTTAAACTTTTTTGTTTTTTGTGATTGGTTTTGGTTGCCAGTGCATTAGGTTTTGAGTGCACTGGTTTAGACAACAGTATGGGTTGGACTGCTGTTAGTAAACTTTCTTGGAAGTGCGTGATTTGAAGTTTTTTTGTAGTGATTAGATGTATAGATGAGTTAGACTATGTATTTATATCCATCATTTATATTCAATAAGTTAGTTTTAGGGTTAGGCTTCATGGGTTTACATGATTATAGAGATGATTGAGATGGAAATTGTCATTCAACTGTGTAATAGTATTGGTTCATATTTTTGCTTTGTTGAACTATTTTGTAATAGGTTCAATGGCGGTTCCAAATAACAACCAATTCGTGCACCATCCAAAAGATCCTGGTGGTATCTGTCCTTTCCTACCAGTAGAGCCAACACTGTTGTGTTAATGTGGGTTGCCAGTATTTGTGAAGCAGTCAAGGCATCCCGCATCAGCTGGGCGTGCTTTCTACTGTTGCCAACTTAAGCGTCGTCCCCCGACACTTGATGCCTACCCAGAGGGATGCAGCTTCTATCTGTGCATCGACAGCGATGAAATGTTTGATCCGTCGATTATGTTTTTCCTTATGACCCCTGGAAGAGCGTTCTATATTCGGAATTTGTTTGTTGGGTTCCGCCGCCACCGAACCCTTCAGAAATGACAGAGGCGGAGAAGGTTGACGCTGCTTTGCGCCGTCTAGCAAATCCTCCTAAATGCAACTGTGGAGTGTCGGCGCTACTAACTACTCCCAACCAACGTGGAGCATTCACCGCCTTCTATCGCTGTGGATCGCCAGATTATGTAAGTTGTCATGAAAGCAATCTATCTCTAAGCTTGCATGCGTTTTGCACATACAATGTTACACTTGGAACATTTGTTTTTTTTGCAGAGAGGGTTCCCATCTTGTGACTTTGAGGAGTACAACTATGAACCCAAATCGCACTGGCCTTTTGACTATGAATTTGCGGAGTTCGAAGCAGGCATTAAGCCATGGCCATGCACAAAGATGCCGGAGCGTAAGTGTAAGTGTGGCATCAAGGCTCACGAAGGAGTTGTTCCATCTGAGCTAGGATACGGATACTACTATCGCAATGCTTATGGAGGGTCGTCTGAGTTATGGGTGAGTTGACTGAACCGGTGAAGTTACTACATGAACATAGGCCACCGGTTTGTTTGCTCATTGCTTTGTGTTTGCTTAGGTGGGGAGGACATGCGATTGAGAGGACTTCCCTGGTCGTGGAGAGTTAGTGGAGAGGCTGAAGATACATTCGTCTCTCGAAAAAGACAGGAAGCGTTGGATGCGGGAGAAGCAGATAGAGGTGAGGACGAGGTACGGGGTATAGATGCCACCATGGAAGACCCGTAACAGGATTTTAGTGTACATTCCTCGAGTGTCCGGTCGATAGCTGAATTTTTACAATAACGTGGCCAAGTCGATGAGCTTTTGGCGACAAAACAAGGAAGCCTACGACTATAAGGAGGCCGAGGATGCGAGGGAGATGACCTTTTTCCACAGGCATATCCGTCGCTTATGTGAGTAATTGATTTTGAAATTTGTTTCGACTTGTGCATCTTCTTACAATTGTTGGCAATGAGACATTGTTTGGTTCTTGTAGTCCCCGATGATGCACCGAACGACGGCCATATCCCCGCACCCATGGAGGAGGATGATTATGATGACGATGACGAAGACCATGACCATGACGATGATGATGACGATGATGAGGACGATGAGTAGTGTTTCCTCTCAACCGATGCCTACAAGGTGCAGTACATATTTTGCAAATACCAATAGGTTTGGCATTACGTAGGTCTTGTATATGGTAGATAGAAGACTGGTACGATAGCGCTGCTGCTTTTGTGCAAAGGCAGCAAGATCCGTACATATTTTGCATATGGCCATGTGTTGCCATTTGGTAGTACTTCATGGTAGATGGACAACTAGTGTTAGTAGTAGTTGTATATGCTAGATGTAACACTTATGTAAGTGATGATGATAATGATATCCTTGAGTTGTATGAACAATGCTTTGAACTCCTTATCGTGTGTAATGCTTCGAACTCATTATGGTCTGACTCCTTATGGTATGTAATGCTATGTGAACAATGTTTAACTTTGCAAAGCACCATGTACCTCTTGTTCTTGTCGGAGTGGGTCACATAATTTGGTGCACATGTTTTGAAAAAACATGAACAATGACGAGAGAGAGAGAGAGAGAGAGAGAGCACCACGGTGTTTGTTGGTTGTTGCTGCTGGCTATGCACTACTCCTACAGTACGCTTGATGCACTCTACTTATCTCTTTGCAAAGAAAAAGTTTACTACTACCTCAAAGATTTTGAAATGAGAGAGACTATGTACATGTGTGTGGCCTGTGACCTGTGTGGATGCAGGACGAGAGTGCCGCACGGTTGAGGAGGCTAGAATGGCATGTTATTTCCAGGACTGTCGTGCCAGGCTGACTGGCGTGACAAGCCTGTTGCGTCGGTGTCGATGGCGTGACAAGGCTGTCGCGCCAGGCGCGGTGGCGCGACGAGGAGGCACCCCCAGGCAAAACCAAACTGGGTACGGGGGCTCATTGGCGCGATAGTGTCACACCAGTCGTGGTGGCATGGCAGTGTCGCGCCAGTGAGAGTGGTGTGACAGTGTCACGCCAGTGAACCCCCGTACCCAATTTTGTTTTGCCTGGGGGTGCCTCCTCGTCTCGCCACCTCGCTTGGACAGTGCTCGGTCATGGCTGTCACGCCAGCAAGCCTTGCACGACAGGCCTAGAAACATTTTTTTTCTTTTCTTGCACACTTCTTAAGACAGAAATACAATTGACACATCATACATAGCATATAACAGTTCATAGATGCCCAACATGGGTCACAAGTTCACAAATAATACTTGACCAACATACCATATAACATCAACTCCACATAGTTCATACACGACGAACTTAGTTCACAAAGTCCACATAGTTCACAAGTCATCAACAAAGTCCACATAGTTTAGACAGTCCACACGACGAACAGAGTCCACCAAATAAGCACATAGTCGACATAGTTGTACCATGACCAACATAGGCAACAAAAAGAAGCACATAGTTCACAAAGCATGCTTGAGATTAAGGGTTAGGCGTGAAGGGCTCACGAGGACGACACAGGCGGCCTGGATTTGTCGGTTGGAGATTAGGAGTGCCGACGTCGGAGCGATCACGGGCACATTGTCGCACGTTTTGTCTTTAACCTCGTCGCGGGCGTTGGGATGAAATCTACACAAAATATATACAACATAGGGAGTTTGTATCGCTAGAGGACTGTAACAACCTAGAAATCCACACACCAAAAATCACAACTACAAAATTTTTTTCTTAAAAATCCCATGTGATGATGAGTGACATTGTAGGAGCCAACCCTAAGAGATGCATTAGAAGTAACCCAACCTAAGTCAACACATAAGCATGGCATATCATTTGTTGATTATGATTATTGAATTTCCAACAAGTAACATGTTGCATACATTGTTAATTCAAGTTGTGAATTGAATTTCCATTTGCTTTATGTTATGCCTAACAATTCCATTAAAATAATAAATCATAAAGTTATTATTAAATAAAATTCCCTAAACTCCAATGAATAAGTCACCTCAGTTGTGAAATCAAATTTCAAACCAAATTTGAATTCAAACAAATGGAAAAGAAATGAAAAATAGAAAAGGAAGAAGAGAAGAAGGCCTCCCAGCCAGCTGCTCGGCCCAACCCGCACGACCAGCAACCGGCCCAGCCAGCCACCGGCCAGCCCCGCCAACGCGCTGCAGCCAGCCCGCCGCTCGGCTCGCGCGGCCCAGCTTGCGGCCCAGCGTCGCCCGCGCGCCCGTCAGCCTCGCTTGCGGTCGCTGCCACCTTGGCCCCGTGTGTCAGCCGCACGTTGCCCATGCCCGTGCATCTCCCCGTCTCCGCTTGCAGCCGCTGCCTGCTGGACCCCGCACGTCAGCGCTACTGTGCTTCTTCCCCACGCCGCGCTCAAACCACCGCGCGACAGAGCCCCGACAGCAATGGCAGGGTGGGCCAGGGGTCATGCCCGGGGCATGGACCTGTCTCCCCCTTGGCGCCGCGCCCACGCAACCCCTCGTGACCGTAGGATGCAAGCAAGCGCCGCGATTGCCCTTGATCCCTGTCCGCCGATCATCGAGCTCCATGGCCGAGCTCGGCTATAAAGGCCACGGTCCTCGGAGCCCTAGCGCTCGTCCCGTTGCCCACCGCCACCTCGTTGGCCATCCACTACGCACCCAAACCTAGAGAGAAGAGGGAGAAGAGGAAGAAGGGGGGAAAAGAACACCGAAGCCGCCGTAGGGGAGGAGATCGCCGGAGCCGGGAGCAACGCCGTCGGCTACATCACCGACGCGGGTCAGCACGGCACTGCACGGCTTCTGGAGCTACACGGCCTCGAATTGACACTGCACCGCCATCCTATCTCCCACAACACCTACGGTGAGCCTTCCGATCCCTCTCTGCCGTCGATCTTCACCGTCGGCCATGGCGCTCCACACTTGGAAGCGCGTAGGCCAGTGCCTTGCCTCAGCCACTTGGAACACATGCACCCACGCGCACACCGAGATCACCGTGACACCCCACCGGAGCCCATAGCGCACCAGCGTGTGCATCACCGTCGACGCCGCCGCCATGGCGCACCAGACCACCGGTCCGAGCACGCGACCACCGGTCCGAGCACCAGACCACGGTGCCGAGCACCAGACCACCGTGCCGAGCACCAGACCACCGTGCCGAGCACCAGACCACCGGTTTGAGCACCCGACCACCGGTCAGAGCACCGACCACCGTGGCCAGTACTGCTGGGAGCGCCTGGCGCCTCCTTGACTGGCCCATCCCATTCGCTGAAGCCGCGGGTAACTCACGCGCACGCCGTGACCACCCCGCTGGAGTCCCGTGGTTCACCCGCGTGCCTCGCCGTCGTCTTCACCATCGCCGTGGCCGCCGGGATGTCCCCACCGGCCACAGGAGAACCGAGCCTCGCCTTGAGTCTGGATGACCTCGCCGCGTTCCCACGAATCCGTACAAGCGTGCACGCCCCGCCGAGACGTTTTACCATGACCGTAGACACCTCACCGATACCGCCGTCGAGCTCGGAAGGGCGCCGCCATGGCCAAAGCCACCGGAGGCCCTAGAGGACCCCTCGACCTGCCCAACATGCCCGTTGGGGCGTTGTGTCGCCCATGCGCACCACAGAACCGACCTATGCCACAGCCCCGCGCCATTCCCGCACGCCGGTGGAGCTCGAGCCGTCGCTCGCCATGGCCAGCACCTTGGGGAAGCTCTGGCCGCCACTTTGACCCCACTGACACAGTCGCCGTGGCCCAGGGAAGCTTTTTCCCTCCCTAATCGGACACCAGCGCCACCGCGGGGGCTCACCGAGAGCTCGCCGCCGGCAGGAGCACCGCCGAGAGAGGAAGCAGGGGAAACTCCCCTCGCCAGCCACATGCCCATGCACCCGGTGCACGTGGACCACAGAGAGAGAGGAGAGGGATGGACTTGGTCCACCATGGACCCTGCCTTAGGTCCATGGATCGTGAACTTGCGTCCACCGTGGACCACGCCTGTGGACCACAACCCAGTAAGAGCCCACGACTACGACGTGGTAGAGCCACAGCACGCCACGTGTCCGGGTCGGCCCGGCCCAGACCGGCCCAGCCCGAGCCCACCAGAGCCCAGTTCGGACCTAGCCCGTATTGACCGTTGACTGGTCAACATTGACCGTTGACCTGGCCCCACATGTCAGTGGCGCAAACACGCTGGGCCCACACGTCAGATGGTGACGTCATGCTGATGTCACGCGGGACCCACGTCCGGAAGCCAAGACAACCGGGTGACGCTATGCGACATCACGCCGACATCGATTCTTGACGTCGGAGCCAGCCTCACATGTCGCTGACCACGATCGCTGACCGCTGACCGCTGACTAACGCTGACCGACGTTGACTTGACCGGACCCACCGCCGGTGACCCAATAGCCTTTGGCCCCACTGCCGGTGAGCATGACGTTGATGACGTCATGCTGACGTCACCGCACCACAAGGACCAACCACGCTGCGTGACACGTGTCGATCCGTGATTAACTCAAATTTTTTCCATTTTCGTAAATAGATTTAATCTTCGAAATTGTGAACTAATTCATACGACCTCGAAAAATACGAAAACCAGGACTAAAATTCATCTAAAATCGAGCTCTACGCAATGAACCCATGTTTGAGTGCATTTAGCTCTTTTGAATTTTCATTGCTTCTTTGTGCTATTCTATAGACGTCGCTAACGCGACTATAATGCGGTCGTTTGCAGACTTGGAGGAAAACCGGACGGACGAGGATC